ACCGAGGTTGGTGCGTAAACACCTGTATGACCTTCAGCAAATACCGTTTGGTGATTCTGAGTATAAGGTACGCAACCCTCGTCGACACACTCTCAATCTTTACAACGTTGTTAACGAGAGACTTGTGGACGATAAATCCGACACCTCCTTGGGACAGATGGTCGCCCTCCCGGTAATAGAGCAAGTTGCCGGATTCGAGGATTACCGTGTCCTCCCCCTCTCTTCGGACTTCGGATAATCCTATAATATGCCAGCGTAACTTGTCTATCTCTTCTTCCAGCTCCACAATCTTCTCGTCAGTCCTCAGGGTGCGTGCGTTCTATGTTGCCAGGTCGAGTCGTTGTAGGTGGCAACCGAACCTCCACCGGAGATTCTTAGCACCCCCTGCCCCGCCGTTACCATGGTCGCCACCGTAGCCAGGAATAGCGGGGCCGCCGGGGACTGGAGGCCGTCTCTTCGCAACTTTCATTATGGGGGGTATATTGCCATAGTTGCCACGCTTGGCGAGCGGGTTGGCAACCGCAGTTTTTTATTGTATTTATGCCGTTACCAGGAAGATGCTGCTGCCCATCTCCTGCCTGTTTCCCTTTGTCGCCTTTTACGACACCCACGGGAAGATATGGGGTAGTGGATATTCTTAACCACCACTACACGGCATATGGTCTGACACAACTGATAATGAAATGTGTAATTTCGGATTGATTTAACCTGTTGATATTTACACTATATATTGTGTGAGTAGCATATTTTATCTAGACATGTCTTTAACAAATTCTATACTTATGGACTAAAATAACTCATATTCACAAAATGTGTTACTTAAGTACCGAAAAAGAAAATCACAATCTGGACTCAATAGGTGACGCTGTGGTTGATGTATAAATAAATTTAATTTACACTGTAAAATATCCGGAGTTAAACCTGTCGCACCATCTACCGGAAAGGGCAGAACAACGTCTCCTAGACAAGCGAGATATTAATTATAAAATCCGAACCAATATGCGTGTGATGTGCGTTGAAAGAGACACGTATGCGATAGTACTGCGCTATGGACGTGCTCTGGTTACTTTGCCCACGCGGATCACAGATGTGGAGGATCATAACCCTTCCCTGTTGGACCTTTTGCTGACCTCTCATCCAGACGGATAGCAGGTTTCCGTCGATGCCTCTCTCGGCTCTTCGGACCATTGTCTAATCCGGAGTGTGGTGCCACTCACGCTTTCCTGGCGGTTGCTTTCTGCAGGTTGCCGCCGTGTTTGGCATTACAGGTCGTCGGATTGGGACGGAATGCGCTCTTTCTTTGCATTCTACCCATGGGTATGCTTCTCGCCGGAAGATCCCAGCGTTGTTGCTGACTCTGTCACCAATGTGGTGCTACAGACAATGGAACTATTTATTACATCATCTGTGGTACCTATCGGTGGTTACCGCGTTACGCAGTAAGCAGGTGTGTTATAAGGCCTGGGCTGGGGCTTCGGCAGCTCGGGGTGTAAACACCAGTATGCTTAAAAAGAAGTATAAATTCGCCTCCAGGTCCTTCAAAAGCGTCATTGCCAAGGCAAGGTCTGAGCACATCGGCAGAATTGGCGAGAAGCTAGTTCACCTTCCTTCGGGAACCCGTGCATTCTGGTCTCTCGCCAAGGCTGTCCAAGGAAACTTCTGACAGCCATCTCTTCCATCTCTGTACAGAGAGGACGACTCACTGGCCCATGCCGCAAAGGAGAAAGCCGATCTGTTGAGTTCTCTTTTTGCGTCCAACTCGACTCTAGAAGACGGGGGGAACACACCGCCGACCATCCCACAATGTGAGTGCTCCATGCCGGATGTGCGGTTTACACAGCGCTCGGTTCGCAAAGCACTCTTCTCCCTAGACATCCACAAGTCGAGTGGGCCTGACGGAATCCCACCAATTGTGCTGAGGACGTGCGCTCCAGAGTTGGCGTCTTCTTCGGTACTCCTACTTCCTAGGCGTTGTCCCTAATTCATGGAAGATAGCTTTTGTGCACCCAGACCCTAAATAAGGTAACCGCTCTGATCCGTCCAATTACAGGCCTATCACCATCACCTCCTTGTTCTCGAAAATAATGGAGTCCATTATTAACTGTCAGCTCATGAGGTACCTTGAGGATCACCAGCTGATTAGTGACTGCCAGTACGGTTTCCGTCGGGGTCGCTCAGCTGGTGATCTTCTTGTTTACCTAATACATAGATGGGCGCAGGCGATCGATTCCAAGGTGGAGGCATTGGCTGTTAGTTTGGACATAGCGAAGGACTTCGATCGTGTCTGGCACAAAGCGCTTCTTTCGAAGCTTCCTTTCTATGTGCTTCCTGAGAAAATTGTGCAATTGGATCACTAGTTTTCTAGCTGATCGGTGCATCAAGTTCGTGGTAGATGATGCATGCTCCAATTACAAGCCTATTAACGCTGGTGTTCCACAAGGCTGCGTGCTATCACCAACGCTGTTTCTTCTGCATATCAATGATATGTTGCGAACCGGTAACAGTCATTGCTATGCAGATGACAGTACTGGTGATACTTTATACATCGGTCGTGCCAATATTTCCCAGCGAAACGTCGCCGAGTACCGGAACAAACTTATATCTGAAGTCAAGACTTTGTTGAACAAAGTCTCGGATTGGGGGCGACTAAATCTAGTCCAGGTCAATCCCCAGAAGACAAAAGTTTGCTTGCGCGTTTACCGCTTAAAGGAACCCCTTTGTCGTATCTACTTAGTTTCAAGGTACATCCCTTGTTGCCTCAGCCAGTATCCTCAGCGTCGACATATCGAGTGACGTGCAGTTTCATGGTCACTTGGAAGAGAAGGCCAAATTGGCCTCTAAAATGCTTGGTGTGCTCAGCAGAGCGGGACAGTATTTCATGCCGCCACACCGCCTGCATCTTTACAAGGCGCAGGTTCGGCCTCACATGGAATACTGTTCCCATCTCTGGCCAGGGGCTCCCCAGTGCCAGCTCCTTCCACCTGACCGCATCCAGCGCAGAGCGGTTCGAATCGTCGACGACCGAGTTCTTTCCGATCGGCTTAACTCACCGGCACTGCGTAAGAAATGTTGCATCCTTTTGCGTATTTTATCGCATGTACCACGGAGAGTGCTTTGAGGAATTATTCGGACTAATTCTAGCCGCTCAATATCACCATCGAACATCGCGACAAACCTCGCAATATCATCCATACCATATGGATGATTGGCGGACCACCGCTTTGCGATTTAGAAAATGTTTTCTTCCTCGCACAACTTCCTTGTGGAATCGATTACTACCAGCGATTTTTCTGGACCGATACGACTTAGGGACCTTCAAGAAAAGAGCGTACTCCTTTTTAAAAGGACGGCAACGCATCTGCAATTCCCCTGGTGTTGCAGTTGTTCATGGGCGGCGGTAGTCACTTACCACCAGGTGAGCCGAATGCTCGTTTGCCCCCTCTACTATAAAAAAAATTCTTGCACCTTGCGAAACTCAGTGCCGGACCACTAATCGCTCTAAAATACGGTCTCGTGGATCGGAAACTGCCTTTTTATAAGTACTTACCGGAAGCCGTGCTCGAAAATGACCGCTCCAGGTTCTTTTGGCACGGGTCATCATCACAGACAGGACCATTCTAGCGAATAAGCCTGATATTGTGCTGATGGACCGGGCACACAAAAATATATTTTTGGTCGACATTACCATTCCATATGAAGAGAACCTCCTTAAAGCCGAAGCAGATAAGAAAACAAAATATTTGGACCTGGCTCACCAGGTGACCGACACGTGGGGTGGTATTTCGTTTAATATATTTATTCAGCCCAACCAGATGAGAATACTCTATAAATAACCCAAATAATTTTAAAATAAAATTTGTTTCGGTAATAACCTGTATTATAAGATTATAGACTGGTTATATTTATTCCAGGAAATAATCTATAATACAATTTTAAATGTAATTTTCTGTAACACTATCGAATTTCTTTTTATTTACATATCAAAGGGATATACCATACGTAATTTTACGTTTTACATGGAAAGACTTCCTTTTTCTTTTAGGACACAAACATTGTCTACCCAATATTCCATTTGCATTACATCTTCTGTTATACAATTTCTTGTTAAAGTAAAAGGGACCTTGCAACTTACAACCGTAAGATATCTAACTTTGAAAATGAAAATCAAATAATTATTTAATTTATAAAGCCTAGTTTTTCACGTTGGGAGATTGCATACTCGTACAAGCGCCAAATTGCATACACGCGTACCATTTTTGCATCACTTAGAAGCTTGCATACATAAACGCATAATAACATTCATGCTTTCACACCCATTCATTCCACGCAAGCTTCAAATATATTAGCAGCACAGAAGAAATGAAGCCATTTTGTAATTTAATTAATAATATAATTTAATTAAGACGAAAAAATAAGAAAACACTGTAATATTTAATGCAAGTTTTATTAGCCTAATTATTATATATATAATTATTAATACAATACTTCAACTAAAACAAATGATTACTCTTTGAATCATACCGCAATTAATAATATCATTAATAAACAAATATTAGAAAAAAATAAAATAAAGTTGAAAAAGATTAAACAAAGCATACCGGAAACCAAAAGTACTTTTCTTATTACATTCGGATATATAAGTTATATTATCCTTTACAAAACATTTTTCGGGATTATATAAAAACGAAGTTTAAAAGGTAAAACATTTTTTTCACTACATTCATACTTGTTTTCAAGTGACAATCATTCTTAAGTTACATCCACATATTCATAATAAATGTCACAAAAACCACAACTAATGAACAAATTCTCGTTAAATACACTCTTCACAAAAATATCACAGTTACTTGACTGTCTATTTACATACAATACTACACGTTTTACATAATGTTTTCTATATTTTTATTTACAAAGTAATATTATATTTATAGGGAAGTAATTTTAAGGTACTCTTGAATTTATTTAATCGTTGCACGCAGTGTAAGTAGTCATTTTCATCTTCATAAATAAAATCCTCGGTGGTAGTAGTACCTCGGTAATGCTGGACCTATAAAAAAACTTTTATTATTGAGTGAAAACACTATTAAATAAAACTTCTTCAAGTGTACAGCACAGATGATATTCCTCAGCCTTTTTTTTACCACAAAGACAATTTGATTATTTTGCGAAGTAATCGCCTGCGCAAAAGATATTCGAATCTTGATTGCAATGTGGAACTGAGTGAGGCTCAAGGCGCTGCAACATAATATGGATGCAATTAACACTTATTCCTAACAACCTGTACCTACAGGTCTGGCTTCAATTATTAATTTGTTAAATTGGTAAATGTGACTATAACATATTATTACTTGTAATTGTAAATTAAATTTGTTAGAAGGCTTAAAAGAGCAGGCAAAAAACTCTTTTTTGCCTGCTCTTTTCTGAGAAGGTCTTGTTTTTGTGAACTGGTGTAGATGTTGAGATTCATAAGAACTTTAAACAGTGGCGTAGTTAGGCGTGGGCCTTGGCCCATGGCCTCGCACTTATAGAGGCCTCACGAAGCCCCTTAAAATGCGATTCCCCTAGACTTTACCACAGATGACTAATTAATTTGATCACTTTTACGCTCGAAAAAGATCGTCACAAATTTAAAAGCGTGTGTTTGGGGCCTCGCAGGAAGCCCCTCTTAAGTGCGACTGCGAGGCCGTTGTAACTACCTTCAAAGAACGCGACCGTTATCTTAACGGAATACGAGACTTGTTAGAAATAAATAGCTATGAGTAGGTATGTCGTGTCAAAGCATTTTGGTAGGATACATCTATTGGGTAGATCTAGGGAACGAAATAAAAGGGGCCTCGCTGATGTGACTTCGCCCACGTCGATATTAGTCCATGCTACGCCTTACGCCTCTGGCTTAAAACAATCCTAAATTGAATGAAATATTTTGACTTATTAACCGTGGTTGGCTACGTTTTGACGTTTGACGTTTAGTTTTGTTGTATTGTGTAAATTTGTCAGCACATGCGTAAAGAAACCGTACAGAGGCAAAGCTTCTAAAGAGCTGTCAAAATGTTTACCTATTTTGGTAGTGTTGGCACATGAGGATAAAATTAGACAAAACTTTTAACAGTTTTTATAATATTTAAGATTTTCTGTTTCTTTCGAGATCAAAATATTCGCAAAATTATTGCTCTAGCCATTCATACATTCATTTCAGATACATTTTGAGTTTGAGTACAGGCCGAGCCGGTTTAAAGCAGTTTCTCTCTATACATGACTAGCCGCCGGTGCTCACGCACACACACACCTCAAGCTTGTAGTAGTGTAACTATCATAGCGCGGTTGTATGAAGCTTTGCCTCTGTACGGTACGGTTTCTTTACTCATGTGGTATCAGTATCGATTGTTATTCGATATCTTCTGTGTATTCATATTTTATTTTAGGGCAATCACAGTCTCATAATGCAGTAACATAACTAAGTTATGGAGTGATTCCTATCAGCAAACGATTTCCCACCAGTTATACAACCCCACTGCAGGATCCACTGGGGTCTCTACGTCGCGTCGTGGCCACTGGCTATTTTTAAAACTACTACACTAAGTACTCGTAGTAGTTATATAAATTTTTTGTTTTAATATTTAATGTCATTTTCAGTAACCTCACCCAGGACTCGGACTCGAGCTCTATTTATTAGCCAGGTACTCCACTCCAATCCATCAGCATATAATTTTTGAAATAGCTGTGTTTCATATAATTTTGGATCGAAGTCCTTTATCGGACGGTACGAAATTAGCAGATGGGGGTAGGCGACAAAAGTGTAAGATTTTTCCGTCACGACCCCTTCTGACGTAGCGTAGACGGCTATGGTGGCTATAAGGACGCGAGATGGAACAATATCCATCTCCCTCGCCCTTTTTCTTACCTTGCCATGACAGAAATACTATTTTAAATGACGCTTCATATTAATAAACACTATTTATTCAATTATTTGTATTTGTTAATCAATAATATAATACTTTTATCAATAATAATATACTACGAAAGAAACTTCGTTCCAATCGAGTGTACCAAGACACTCACGCATATTTTTTTTAGTTCAAGCTATTGTATCTATTTGTAACGATTTTTGTGTAACAACCTATTGGTGTAATGGTGAAATTACTCTTACAAACTAAGTTTGAATTATAGCTGGTGGAAATACACATTACCGTACCAGCGGTTATATCAGCAAAACATGCATATATTTTATTGGTTATTTTACTACATGAAATTCAAATTTTACATTCAAATGTCTGTGTTATAGAATTTTGATTTATTAATCCATAAACACTATCGATCAAAGTGAAAACATCTACCAAGTGTTCGTAATTAAATTAAAATTATCGTCCTCTTATTTCCGAAAATTTTAAATTCCATATTCCTTTAAAGTCGTAATAATATATTAAATATTAATTATGTACTATTGTTTATATAACTTTAGAGAATACAATCACTTGTCAGTGCACTTGTGTCGGATTTCACGCTCGACGGGTCGGAAATGCACAAAGTTTCCTTTTGTGGCATTTCTCATAACTTGATTTGTGACGGCACAACCCTTCAGGCGGGTTCCGGTGCGGCGCCGCCAAGGCGCGACGCCTCGCTTCCGTAGCACTACTACGCAGGGCGCTGCTACGCGAGTACTATGTGCGGGGAGGGTGACGTAATCAAACTCAAAGTAAAATAAATATTAAATTTGAAACATATTATATGCCACATTTTGTCAATCTTAGATTATATTCACAGCATGTCACAGCAATCTTCTTGTGGTGTTGAAATCAAATCAATAGAATGTACTGAGTTCTTTTTAATTTTATAAGATATACGAATATATACTTAATAAAAATTACATACTTAAAAATGAGTAATAATACAATTTTAAAAAATAATAAAAAATTAGAAGACTTGTCTACTTTTACAATTATTAATGTTTTATTATTATTTTTTGTTTTTTTTATTTATTCACTAATTGCGTTACATGTGACTTGGTGACTAAACAAAACATGCAAATTCTAACAATCACATGCACCTCGAAAGGCATAACAATGAAGAGGAGAGGGGCAGACACTTAAAAATTCTTTTCCTCAATGTATTCATTAATTGAATAATAACTTTTTTTAATAAGTATATTTTTAAAGAGCTTATGAATTTATTAATATTTGTTTCGGCTTTTAGGTATTTTGGCAAATTATTATAAATTTTTATTGATATCAGGTAAGGACCTGAACTGTGTAATTTTAATTTATATTTTGTTTGCAAAAGGTTATTCTTATAGCAAGGTATATTGTGTCGGGGCGCGTCTATGATTTTGGTGTAAAAACTTGGGTGTCTTTTTATAAACTTACATATTTCTAATATATATATGCACGGTAATGTTAGAATGTTGAGATTTTGAAAGTGAAATTTGCAGCTTTCTCTTTGTTTGATATTTGCAAGAACGCGTATACATTTTTTTTTGTAAAATAAAAAGTTCGTGTGATTCTAGACTGTTGCCCCACAGAATGACGTCGTAGCTTAGCCACGTTTGAGCGTAGGCGTGATAGGCTCTCACTGCCGATTTTAAATTTGTAGATTTTTTTAGTTCTCTTAAAGCATATATAAATTGTGATAATTTTAATTTATTTTTTGAATATGTGATTTAAAATTAACATTCGAATCTATTAATACACAGCAAAGAAAAATTTTGAACACATTCTAATTTTGTTTGAGTATATGTATAATTTATGTCTAGTTCATGTTTTTGTCGTGTTCTGAATTGTATTAATTTAGTTGTTTTTTTTTTTTTTTTGAAATTGACTTCTAAATGATGATCGCTTGGTCATTGTTTTACTTTGTTTATATTTTTTGTTATGTTTGTTATGTCGATTCTTTCATTAAGTTTGGTTGGTACCATTGATATAAGGGAACACAACGAAAAAATCGTCCGCAAACATCACACAATGCTCATCAATAATCTTCGGGAGGTCATTGATGTAAATAAGGAAGAGTACACATCTGAGTACGGACCCCTGAGGGATAGAGTCCCGCACCGGCTGGGCCCTTGACCTGACACATGTTATGGTTTTTGAATCTTGATCTACATTTTCTATTTCGACGTATAAACGATTGCTGAGAAAGGAAGCAAACCACTTATGAGCTACACCACGGATACCAATGTCATAAAGTTTATTTGAGAGAATGTTATATTTAAATATTTCATATGCTTTTGTCATGTCAAATAAAATTCCTATTGCGTATTTCTGATCGTTTAATATGTTCACGACTTCATTACAATATTTAAATGCGGCCAGGGTTGTCGAGCGGTTTTTTTCTAAAATCATTTTGGGCGTCGTCGAAAATATTGTACGTTTCACAAAATGAGTATAATCGTTTGAACATAGCTCTTTCAAAAATTTTTGAAATTACGGGTGAGAGTGAAATGGGTCGGTAGGTAGTTATTGGGGTCCGTTTCTCTTTGTCTTTTTTATGTATTGGCTTTATAATAGCAATTTTTAGTAGGTCAGGGAATACTCCTTCAGAAAAGGATTAATTTATAATTAAAGTTAACGACGGAACTATTTCTTCGGCACATTTTTTAAAAAAATTGGACGGCAGGTCATCAACACCGAAGCTAGGTTTTAATTTTAGTTGTCACACCAATGACATTACCTCTCGTTCATCCACTGGGATTAAGAACAACGAGTGCAGGGAGGGGCGCATAGCCGGGCAGCCCGCGTGGCGTAGGCGCACTGATGCGAACAGCTCGTTAAAAACATTAGAAACCTCATGCGGGTCCGGTATTGGCTTATTGTTGATATGCAATTTAATATCTGGCGGCCTCTCATCTCAGGGGTACCTCGTTTAGAGCCGGGGCGGCATCAGAGGCAGCTGAACTGAGTAAGTGGCGCAAATATGAGTCTCTGAGAGATGACTACATATTTGTGCCATTTGCTGTAGAGACCATCGGTCCGTGGGGTCTACGAGCGATGAAGTTCCTAAAAGAACTCCATCCGCGGCTGGTCGTTGCTGTTGGTGATAAGAGGGCTGGTTCTT